ATTTGTGGTTGTTCCCCTGTGCTTGAAATAGGGGAAAAAATATTTTTTTTTGCTTAATGAAAAACAGAGTAATCAGTGTATATTTCAGACACAACACTATTTCTGCAGGATGCCTTAAAAAGGTTTGCGTAAGACATAAACATTTGTGTCTCTTTTTAAAGCTGTTTTACATTTGGTCTTTACTGTAAGTATTAACATTCCATGAATAGAAAGAAGGCACTAAATCATACTTCATTTTTTGTTTTATTAACATTTCAGGGCTGCTCATCCATAGGGAGTGTTTTGCAGAAATTAAGACATACTTTTTTCTCTTTCCACCTTATTATGAGTGGTATATTTTGTTTTTATTTCTTTGGAAAGTAGAAAATATTAAGTCAAGGATGGTCAACATGCAGTGGCACCTCAGGAGTCTCCAGGCCAATGATAAGAGGAAACGATTTACGAGGGCAATTTGGAAATAAACCTCCATTTGGTTATCAATGACAGACACTCGCAAATACAGAACTTGCATTATACACATTAGAAAACTACAGCATTACATTACTTTTTGACATAATCACCATTCAAATTGAGGCACTTACATAACGTCTTACAAGGTTTGAAATTCCTTCTGCTAAAACATCTTCCACCTGGGAATGAAACCACCCTTTAACAGCATCGTGAAGCACATTATCGTCGAAGCAGTGCGACGCAAGCCACTGTTTCTTTTTTAAAAAGTGGTTCATTTTCAATTGATCTAGCAGATGAGTCAACTGCAACACAACCTTCTCCTTCCACTGCTCAGTCACACATACTCAAACGGAGGTCTATTTCCGAATTGCCCTCGTATGTATAGTCTAACACAGGAGTGTCAAACTCAATTTCATTGAAGGCCGCATCAGCATTGCGGTTGCCCTCGGAGGGCTGGGTGGGTGTGGCCAGGGTGGATGTAGCCTACTGGGTGGGCATGGATGGAGTGGGTGTGGCCTAGTGGGTGGGCATGGCCAGCTCTACATCGTTTGCGTCAAGGGTGCCTGTGGGGGCCTGGGCAGGAGTGGGACAGATCTGAGGGTCTCTGGCAGAAGGGGGTGGGACCAGGTCAAGTGTCAAGGCATGGTCCACTGGAGACGCCTCACTGTTCCTCTCAGGCCATGTGGGGGGGGGGGTTATGGAGCTAAGACTGAATGTGTTTCAGCATAGATGGCCACCACAAAATTGTACATTGGCTCCCGGCTGGCCTGGGCCAGGGCCAAGGCAGCGGAGGCTGTTCCCTCACAGTTTCCAGGATGGCTTTGCGGGTCACATGAAACCACTTCACGGGCTGCATCTGGGCCCCGGGCCTTGTGTTTGACATGTCTGGTCTAACACTAAAAGTTTGCAAAGGAATATGTACAGTCTCCTTAAGTATAGCTTGAAAGGAGGAGCTCTTTAAGTATAGTTGAAAAGAAGGCCATCAGTACAAAAATGAACTGGATCCCACCAACCTTGCAGAGGGAACTGATAGTTTTCCAGGCATTTAACTGGCTTCACTTGTGATGCTCCTCCAGTGTTTCCCCTGATAGACAAATGCAATGACCTTTATTATCCCATCACAGTTCCACAGTAGATGTCAGAATACCATAGTGTTGGTTGTATTTGTGCTCAGCTTTAAATGTGGTGGTAGTAGAAAGAGGAGAAGAGGTGGATGAGGCAGAAAAAAAATATCTTCCTCATGCCAGGTGATCAAGCCAGAATACTTCTGGTATGACTACATATTAAGTTTTAGGTTTTTTTAATCATAGGATTGGAATCAACACTTGCTTTAGATATGCTGGTTTTCTGAGGTTGAGCAAGGATGCTCAACCTACAATATAATATTTTTAATTTTTTCTAGAACCCTGTAGATAAATTCATTGGTGATTAATTTGCTTGGCAATATTAAAATACTTCTAAATTAATGTATATTAATGTGACAGAATTGATTGGGAAATACAGGTAGTCCTTAATGACCACAATGGCTAAAGTGTGACATCACCAGATGTAAGATGTCACTTTTCCCCATTATTGTTGAATGAGACATCGCGTGAGCACAACTTACAATTTTACTGCTAGCTTCTCCATTGACTCTGTTTATTGGAAGCCAACTGTGAAGCTCAGAAATGGCAATCATGGGACTTTGGGATGCTGCAATAGTCATAAATGCCGACTAGTTGCAAAGCCCCTGAGTGATGATCACATGAGGTATATACATGGATGCTGCACCAAGGATTCGTCATAAAGTTACTTTTTCAGTAAGTTCCAACAGTCACTAAACAGGGCAATCATTGAAGGAGGACTATGTATACATTTCTTTAGTAAATGCTAAAGCTTGCAGGGTAAAAGATTGGAGTCCCAAAACTCCTCTCTCGGAGGTTCTCTGATCTTCACATTTGATACCCCACCTGCTTTGGAATTCTTGCTACTACCCCTATCTTCCAGAGAGGCATTTCATCTGGTACCCACACCCTAATTCTAGTATCAGTAGCAGGTAGGGTTCCTGTTTCATTCTAAGGATTAAAAGTTAAAATACAGAAAATGAAAGAATAGAGACAGTGCTGCTACTTAGCCTTGTATCATATAGATGTGGTAGCTAGAGAACTCAGCCCTAGAATAGAATAGAACTGGAAAGGACCTTGGAGTCTTCTAGGTCAGCCCCCTGCTCAAGCAGGAGAACCTATACCATCAGACAAATGACTGTCCAGTCTCTTCTTAAAAACCTCCAGTGATGGAGCACCCATGATTTCTGAGGGCAAGCCTCGTCTCTTTCCTCATAAGAGATAAACACAATAAAACTTTATTATAAAGGCAACAAAAATGTAATTCTGCTTTTCAACTATAAGTATTAACACGCAGACCTTCCATGTTAAAGGAGATCATTATAAAGCTGACCAGAACACAGCAGCTTGCAAATTAATTTTTAACCAATCAAGATGAAAACACAATATTTCGGACATTTTGAGCTGAAAGAGAAGAGCCCTCTGCCTGAAATCGTGCAAATTATAAAAAGACAATTCAAAATATTACATATCTCAAGAAGCTTATAAAGAAAGAAATGTAACTTCATGAACACAGGCTGAGATATACATGAAGGTGGAACTCACTCCGAATCAAAACTTATGTCAAAGGTAGAGAAAATAAGACTTAGTCCAACATGGAAAATATAACTAAACTTAGTTATAAACTAAGTTATAAAAGTTCAGAGAAGAGCAACTAAAACGATCAAAGGCCTGGAGATTAAAACATACAAAGAATGGTTGCAGGGGTTTGGCTAGTTTAAAGAAAAGAAGAAATAGAGGAGACATGATAGCAGTATTCCAGTATTTGAGGGGCTGCCACAAAGAAGAGGGAATCAAACTATTCTCCAAAGCACCAGAAGGCAAGGCAAGAAACAATAGTTGGAAACTGATCAAAGAGAGAAGAAACTTGGAATTAAGGAGAAACTTCCTAACAGTGAGGACAATTAACCGGTGGAACAGCTTGCCTTCAGAAATTGTGGGTGCTCCATCACTGGGGGTTTTTAAGAAGAGACTGGATAGTCACTTATCTGAGATGGTATAGGTCAGTGATGGTGAACCCTTTAGAGACCGAGTGCCCAAAAACTGGCCCGCCCCCACTCCACCCCCTGCCCCGCTCCCGCTCTGCCCCCACCCCACCTGCCCATAGGGCCACTCACTGCCTCCAGGGCCCACTGCAGATCGCCCAGCAGTGCCATGGCGGCCACACCCTCTGCCCATGCCCTGCAGCATCAACTGTGTGCAATGGGGCATGAGGGCAGAGTCTTACCTACACCGTCTGGCTGCCATGTCCTTGGCTGCACTGCTCCACGTGGGCCACGCTCGGGGGCTGCTGGTGAGGAGGGGGCAAGGCTGGGGCAATGGCATGTATGCCCACAGAGAGGGCTCTGAGTGCCGCCTCTGGCACCCATGCCATAGGCTTGCCACCACTGGTATAGGTTCTCCTGCTCGAACAGGGGGCTAGACCAGAATACCTCCAATGTCCCTTCCAGATTCTATTCTATTCTATTCTATTCTATTCTATTCTATTCTATTCTATTCTATTCTATTCTATTCTATTCTATTCTATTCTGAATATTTGCCAAGGATATAGAAAACAGCATGGGGCTGTTTCAGCAGGCTGATTTTTGTCTTCCTTTAAGCCTGAGTTATCAGATAAGAAAACTGGCAGAAATCTGTATTTATTACAGAGAAATTCGAAGTTGTTTTTTTTTTCCTGATGTACCTGCTTTTCTTTTTTCTTTTCTTGGCTGAATCAAGTTGTTAAATTGTCCTGACTACATTTCTTAGATAAGCATTTAGAGCGGTGTTTTTCAAACCTGGCAACCTTAAGATGTGTGGATTTCAACTGCCAGAATTCTCTAGCCAGTATGGGAATTCTGGCAGCTGAGGTCCACACATCTTAAAAGTTGCCAAGTTTGAAGAACATTGATTTGGAGCCTTATATAGGAAATACGTTGTCAAAGGGCCCAGAATTATTTTTGTGGACAAGGTTGTCTATGTGAAGTACTTACTAATGTCCTGTTTCAATTTGTAAGAACATCATAAACAATAGCATACACTTATTTCTTAAGCAATTTGAATCCCTACACTCCAAGTGGCAAACGCGTTTCCACCCTTGCCGTCCTTGGGTTCAAAGTCACCTTAAGACATAAGCTGTAAACTTGCCAGACTTTGTAATTCTTTTTTTTTTTAGTAGTAGTGCATTCTTTCTTAAGTAAATGGCAAACACAAAAGCAAACAAACAAAATTTAGTTGATCTCTAATTTATAGACAGACTGTCTATAATCGCTAGTTGCTTTTGACACCTACTGCATTGTAATGCTTTTGGGCAGATTATCATCTTTTGAAAAGAAACACAGGCAGAGCTGTGATGGCCAGAACCCTTTTACTCAGTGAAACATACATTAATTCTTTAGGTCTTAATGTCTGGGCTTTGAGATAGTATCTGAGATAGCAAGAAATGATTGATTCTTTTTTCTGTTCCAGCGGTTTACCTTTGCAAGCGAACAATGCAAAACAAAGCACGGCTTGAGCTAGCAGACTATGAAGCAGTAAGTACCTGGACCTTTTCCTAGAAGTGAAACTTGGAAATTGGGTCATGAGACTTGGAAACTCTGCCAAAAACAAAAGCAAAGCCCTTGAAACAATCCTGGTCTTGAAAAATAGATATTAGGGAGCTTCAGCTTGCAGGCAGGCATTGATATTTCACGGTTTGAAACAAGCACATTAAAAAGAATGGCAAAGTCTATGGCATAACATTGTCTTACAAAGATTGAAGAGCATCATGGCAAGGTCATTTCACTTAAATTGCAGAAGACTTATAGTCGTCCCTATGAAGTCATCTCTAAAATATTCAGAAACATTGATAATAACCAAGGGTTCCATGTGTACGTGTTACAGAAACCTGTTTTGTTCTATGTTGACTCTAACTCAGAAAGCTTTATCAGAGAAAAGCTAACTCTGAATGCTCTACTTACACTGTCTAAAATGAGTTTCTTTCCTTTCCACTGCAAGAATGTAGATGGGGAAGTCAGTGCAATTTTATTTTATTGCTAACCTGTTTACTGGTTGCACCCACACTTCAAATAGGGGACAGTGTGTTTTTCTATCCCAAAAGAATACATTTAGTCCTCAAAACTTATATATTTATAGCATGCCACTGTGGGAGGGGGAAAGTGCATTGATTTGTTATGGAACTGAAGAAACAGAATTGTTGCATCTTTCTTGGAAGTAGACCACAATATTTACCTATTTACATAACAATTTTTAGAACTAGGTCTGATCTGTGGGAGAAAAACCAGTATTAACTTATACATATTTGTCTTGATCCATTTTTTTCTTGAGAGCATGGATGTGCGGAATGTATAAACACATTTTCCATTAACAAAAGAAAACAAGTTCCCATCTCATTTAGGACTCGGGAGAGAAGGCAAAATTTGACAGGTACAAAGGAGTGCCTGGGGAATATAGGGTCAAGGAACTGAAACATTTCAGTGAATAAAGACATAGCTTCTCATTTTTAAAATGATGGGTATATCCATCTAGTTTTCTTTACATTGCCACTGAAATGGATGACTGTTGTCTTCTCTCAGGAGGTATCTTCAGCTTTCCAGTGTAGTCTATGATTGTGAGGATTTCTGTGGTCCCCCATCAATGTACTAACAGGAGTCCAGAATCCTGTCACCTGCTCAGGCAACCCTTATTTGGGATCTTGAAATCTCAGAAGAAAATTGCAATGACTTGAATCTAGATTTTAAGCTCTCCAACGTTCTTCCTGTTGAAGAAACTTGCTAATATGTGGTGTGTTTTCAGGAAAGCTTGGCCAGGTTGCAACGAGCATTTGCACGGAAGTGGGAATTTATTTTTATGCAAGCAGAAGCACAAGCCAAGTGAGTAGCCAAGACATTTTATTGCTAGATTCGTCATCTGCTGTCTTTTAAGGCATTTCAATTTATCTTTTTATGTTATTTACCTCATCATCTACAGAGTGGACAAGAAAAGGGATAAGATAGAAAGAAAAATCCTTGACAGCCAGGAGAGAGCATTCTGGGATGTACACCGACCAGTGGTATGTAAATTAATACTTTACCTTACATTCAGAAACTGGGAGATATAATCTTCCCTCCTTCCTTCCCTCCCTCCCTCCCTCCCTCCCTCCTGACTGATTATATGAGGTAAGTTCAAATTCACAAATGCAGTGATGCTGGCCCGCAAAAGTAAAAAATGGCTGAACTTTCTCCTAGCCCTGGCTGCCAGCTGCTCTTTGAGCAGGAGCCATGAGTCTAAGGGACTCCTAGATTGCACCCCAGGTCTTTCTGGGGCAGTGTCTCCCTATCCAAAAGTAGGGATGGAAGAATCTTATCTCTGGATGGTTCAAGTATCTGGATTAAAATAGGAAATAATTGCTTTAAGTTGCCCCTGGTCAAAAAAGTTGAGATATAAAATCAGTAAAATTAATTTATTTTTTTTAAAAATGAAGGAAGGACACGAACGCTCACAAGTCACTTGATGACCCCCAAGAAGTGCATCATGATATCACAGGTCTTGTTTACCTGAATTAGCTGTCAGCATGTAAATACCTAGGGGTGGAGTTTGTGCTTTTATATTTTGTGCTCATGTTTTCATAGTTTTAACATTACAGTTCACTATAGATGCCTAGGAAGATGGCAAATATATGGATTAATGTGGGTGTCATAGGATTAATTTAACACCAAATTCTCTTAGTAAATACCATCTGCATTCCCAACAGGGAGTGCACTCATTATCTATAAGCTTATTTATAATTATTACATCACTGTTTCCAATTTCTTGGCTTGGAAGTTGCAGTGTTCACACCTAATCCAAAGCAAGCATATTGCCATTTGAATTCTGCTTTAGTTCAATTGTAATCTGAAATGAAAAAAAACCTCATTCTTCCAACTGTGCACTGGCAATGTTTGCACAATACTGAGTTAAAGACTAAGTGGTGTGCTTAATTTTGAGCCTGTTGTTTTATAGCTTGGTTTAGGTAACACCATTACTGGCAGTGAGTGTGGCATTTGCCCTCTGTTTATATACAGTAGTTTGCTTTGACAGTTTTAGTGGGGGTGTAATTTTCTCCTTTGTAGTTCTTTGATTAGGGTACTGTTTTCCACTTGATTGTTTAGCTGGTATTAATTCCCCTTATTTAGGTGTTGGCTGCTGGAGGGGACATATTCTAGTGTTTTTGTTTCCTTCTTAGCTTTTTTGTTATCTCTTTTGAATAGTGTGTAAATATGGTTTATTTTTTATTTTTTTGTATTGATGGCTGATTTATCTGAATGCCAAGCTTCCAGGAATTCCTTAGCATTTTTGACTTGGTTTGGTCTAAGATGCTTACACATTCCCAGTTGAAACTGTGGTTGAATCTGTCCACAGGTTGTAAGATTAAGGAGTCTTCATTGCATCTTCTGACTGCTAGATGGTGCTCATGGATATGCTCTGCTAGTCTTCTGCCTGTCTGACCTACATAATGACTGTTACAGTCCTTACACCTTATGTTCATTTCTGTTTCTCTTCTTGGGTTGATGGGTCTTTTGATTTACTTACAATATTTTGGAGAGATTTGGTTGGTTTGAGAGTTGGTTTGTGGTTTAATTGGTTTCGGAATAGAATTATCTTTTTATAGGGTCTCTGGCACCTTGATTGTTGCTGAAGAAATGGCAGGAAGAGGGGAGGGAAAGCTATCTTTTGCCTTTCTCTATATAACTATTGTTACAACAGCTAGAGAAAAGGAAGGAAAATGCTTCATGCGGTGCCTACGGAGCACTACAGCATTACAAAATTAGGAGTGAGTAAAGGGTTTGAAGAAAACATAAACTGCAGAGCAGGATTCTTTGTACTCCCATTATCTGGATTGTGACAGGTTCCTGGGCTTTTAAAAACAGCTGGCCTGAGAAATACCAGAACTGTTTGTAATTTTGAGGAAATACTCTTAGTTAAGTTGTATTCTGAATCATGCATTGGGGAGGTGGGATTGTCTTGAATGAACTATACTGCATGACCTCCATGTTTACAAACATGTTTATTTTATTAGATACTATTTGCAATATCAGCTGGATCTCAAAGAGTCCCTCTGGATGATGCCAGTCATCCTGTTCTGTATTCATGCACAAAACTAACAAGCTCATTTGATTGAGAGAGTATTAGTCAAGGAAGATATGCCAATCCTAATAAAATTAGAATAGTATAAGTAAAAGATTAAAAAGTAATGACCTCTATATGTTACCTCTCTTTTCAAGTCTTCCACTTTTATAAAAAATAATGAGCATATATGAGATTGAGCAGAGATGATTACGTTCAAGGATGTGTGTCTATCTGCATATAATTCTCATATGAGTGGAAGGTTATAAGTTTCTATGTGAATGTAAGACTTATGAGGGGAAGATATATGTAAATAAATATGGAGGTTTATTGCATCGTATAGGTAGTCCTCCGCTATTGGGACCAGCAACTCGGTAGCATGTATATTTATTATTTTACTATAAAATTTACAATGATGCTAAGGGCAAAACTAACTTAAAATCATACCATATCCAGGCTGTGACATTCTCTCACAGAGTGTCTAAATTCGTTTGCAAAACTTTCCCCAGAGCCACTGGCATATAAAGCAGCAACTGCAACAAGAAGATTTAATTAAATTCAATAAAGTCATTACAAATCCATGCTTGTAAAATGAAAAACAGATGCTTTATGGTTACTGATTGGAGCAGTGGATCAATAGCCCTATATTTATTTGCCATTTGATTAAAATATTTAATCATACAGTCATGAAGTTGGAAGGGGCCTTTTAGGCTTTCAGGTCTAACATCTTCCTCAACTGCCAAAAGTTAATGAAAGATTCTTAATAGAAAGCTGTCCAGACTCTACTTGAATGCACCCAGTGAAGATAAGGCCAGTTTCTGGGTAATTGCTCTTGCTGTCAGAATTTTTTAAACCTTTTATTCAGTCAGAATCTATTCTTAATCTACAATTAGCTGAAATCCATTTTTCCATGTTTTGGATGTAGAACAATACGCATCTTTACCTTCTTCTCTGTATATACAAGGAATATTATTATGTCTCTCATCTGTCTTTTGTTCTCAAGGCTAAAGATTCCAGTTCTTTCACTCTCCTCAAATAACTTAATTTCTAGCTCCCTGATTAACTTAATTGATCTTCTCTGAACCTCTTCTGATTAGTCTGAATGCTTCTTAAAGTAGGGTGCTAAAAACTAGGCACAAAACTCAAGTTGGCATCTGATCAGTGCAGAATAAAATAGAACTATTATTTCTTGTGCTTTGGAAACCGTTATACTGTTCATATGGCCCAAAATTTCACATACCTTTTTGCAGCTAGATCCTGGTGCTGGCACTTGGTTTGCAGTCAATATTATTCCAAAATTGTTATAAGTACTTAGGTATCCCAGATGCTACACCATGCATCTGATTTCTGTAGGAAGAGCTTTGAAGTTTCTTGCATTTCATTCTTTATTTTTACCTATTTCTCTATCCTATCAAGATAATTTTAAATTGTATTTCTGTCTCCTAGGCTGTTAGCAATTTCTTGCTTTTTTCCCATCATGCTTACCTACAGGGACAATTCCTTTGCTTATTTTTCCCTATGGAGAGTTGCTTCTTCTGTCAGCTCATGTTGTAACACTTCCTTTGACTGTTTGATAAACCTTTAAACCTTTTCTTATTACTTCTTCAAGTATAGCTGACACTTTGTATTTTCTGCAAACATTTGCCAGATAGGTTTCCAGGCAAGAACATGAACATATTACATGGCATGCATAGCTTTGTGGTATGTTTATGTTCTTGCCTGAAGTCATAATTATAGATTCCTTTCCATATAACTTCAGTTTTGCCAGCAGAAGAGAATGTATGTGGTTGAACTGTGTTATCATCTTCAGTGCTACCTAAACATCTGCAAGCAAACAACCAAATGCAGAGAGCACCAAGGACTCCACAACTTACTTCAGTTTTATGTTGTAAGACACCATCAGTAGGAGGTCTCTTACTTTTTCTTTTTTGTTGTTCATCTTTTTCTTCCATTCTTCTTCTTCCCTTTTCAGGTTTTCTAGTGAGGGAAAGTTTGGAAGGGATTTCCCCTTAAACTCTTTTGCTCTTGGACCTCTGTTCTCCATTTATTCATCCAGTATTTCTTGTTTTAAATAGATGAGATAGCTATTTTTAAAACAAGTGCGGAAATACACTGGGTTTCTATGATATAAACAGTAATTGATATAGGAATGCTATTTATATTTGGGTGTTTGTGTATATACCGACAAGTGCACAAACACACACATGCACACAACATGCCATCAGGAAGGGTAATTTTATATAGATAATTATATAAGATGTTTACTGTAATGGCCAAATCATATTGCCTGCTTGCTAGGCTACATGTACGGGGCTCATAGGAAATGAAATCTAACGACACCAAGAAAATTTGTGTGAAGACAACCTGAGTTTATGAGACCATTCACTAGCAGAAACCATTCTAACAAATTACAGAAGCAAACAGAATATCTTAATTTGTTTGTGGGTTAAGAACTGGTCACAATCAACATGTATATACAGGTAATTCTCAACTTATGCCCACAACTGAGACCAGAATTTTGGTTGTTCATCAAGGCACTTGTTAAGTGAACCATACCCAATTTTACTACCTTTTTTGCCCTGGTTGTTAAGTAAATCAGTTGCAGTTAATAACATGTTTTGTTAAGCAAACCTGGCTTCTGCCATTGTCTTTGCTTGTCAGAACTGTCTGGGAAGGTCACAAAGGGGAGTCAAATGACTCCGGGACAATGCAGTTGTCACAAATCCATGCCAATTGTGAAGCACCCAAATTTTGATCACATGAACATGGAGATACTGTGATGGTTGTAAGTGAAAATACTGGTTGTAAATCACTTTTTCCAGTGCCATTTTGAATGACCATTAAATGAATAGTTGTAAATCAAGGACCACCTGTAGTTTTAATGATAGTTATGGAGCATTAGAACCCTTTGTTCAATAGAGCCTGTTGTAACTGTATATACATTTTATAATAACACAGAGGAAAAATGCTGAATTTGAATTGTTTTAATTTAAATGCTAATGTAAAGCAATCACATTTATCTACATTATATTTTTAGCCTGGATGTGTAAATACGACTGAAGTTGATATTAAAAAGTCTTCAAGAATGAAAAATCCTCACAAAACAAGGAAGGTATGTTCTTATCTTTAGTAATTATTTACATATAAGCATATTTTGCTTTCCCTTATACTGAAGAAATCCGTTATAATAGTTCTGGGTATGTATACCTTGATAGAAAATTCTTTAAAAAATGGAAACAGGTTTGGATTTATTTTAGTAGCAAATATTTTTTTTTCTAATGGAATGAATGCTTAGATTTTTTTTATGTTTAGAAAAAATGTTCTCCAACCTTTGCCAGTTCTTCATTCTCATCTAGCAAACTCAGTCATTTTGCAAATAACATTAACTGCGGTGGATGGTCACAGTAGGAGCCATCCCATGCACTTCTGTGACAGCAAATGTAACTTTGAATAAATGGTTTCTGTACTTGTGACTCAACTCTCACCTCTATCCTGTTCATCAAGAACAAATCTATTTAATGATGGATGTTGCCATCATGAACATCTACTGTAACATTGGGAATTGCAAGTCCTGATATGGCCAGTAACCGCTTGGCCAGATATTATAGCATGGATATTTCTAGTCATGGTATTCATGAAATTTTTCTGGCAATAATAATTATACAAATATAGCAGGTGTGAGTTCTAACAATATGGCTGCATAACTGCAGCAGAGGAACTGGTCCTTGATTTAGTCTTTGAAGGAAAACTAATCATCCTTTTTAAACTAAATTAGAAAATGCAATGACACAGATTCCCAGTCCTGACTATAAAACTACCCAACTTGAGAATAAAAAAAGTGGTGACATTTTCAAATATTAGAATCTGTTACTAGATTAGAATTTCACTGTCTGGTACATTTTTGAATGAAATAAGATGGCAATCCAAAATGCAATGTGGTTCAGTTAAAATATTAGTGTTTAAGCCAATAATCAGCTTTGTTACAGTAGGTTATAATGACATTTTGGCTGCTGTGTTTGTAAAAGAGTTGTGCCAAGAATTAGTCACATCTCAAATGTTTGGCATACCCTGAAGATGTGTACAAATAATAGGCCATCACAGCACTTGTAACTTAAAAAAAAAAATTAGCCCACAAACACAACAGCTGTTTCTGGATCTCTAGATAAAATAGAATCACCCCCCACACACTAACCAGCAACCTTTTCCTTTTGATGCAAGTAATTTACAAAACACAGAAAAGGAGTAAGAAACAGTAAGCCAGATAACTTTAAGATATGAAATAGGGAAAGGAGGTCCCCTTAAATCTATTAATACCAATACCATTCAATATATCTTTCTAAACCTGCAAACTATATTTCATTCCCTTACATTCATTCATTACTTTATACCAGGGGTCTTCAAACTTGGCCCTTTTATTACTCGTGGATTTCAACTCCCAGAATTCCTCAGCTGACTGAGTAATTCTGGAAGTTGAAGTCCACGAGTCATAAAAGGGCCAAGTTTGAAGACCCCTGCTTTATACATTGCTCTTTGTTCTTCGAACGTCCACTTTCTTTCTGTCTCAAGCCTTAATCCAACTCTCAATCTTTCTCAGTCTTCCATTTTATTCAATCCATTCACCCTATCTTTAATCATTTGTTTACAATACTATCCTCATTCATTCTCTTTATATGATCAAACCACCTCAGTGTACTTCTTGATTTCTGCTCATTCACATTTTTGTTCAATTAAGGAGAGCTAAATTCAACTTTGTTCAATTTACCTGTCCTTAATTCTTCACCCCGTCTCTTGTTCTTTTTCCACATACACTCCATTCAACTTACTTTTGTCGATCAATCAAATCTTTATTCATAGACCAGCAAATAAACCACTAGAGTGTTCACTTTTTCACTTCACCATTCGACTAATAAATTAATGTTAATATAATTCTCACATTCATTTGTAGCTCCTTGTGATATACTTGTTTTTGCCAATAAAGGAGAATGTTTGTAGCTCAAGGTTGAAAAGAGGGGTTCTTGGTGCTCCCTGAGCTTGGTTGTTTTTTTGCAGATGTTTCATTACCCAAACTAGGTAACATTGTGAGTGGAAGTGCCATTGGCCACACTTTCACCAGTTGCTTCAGCAGGATTTGAGAGTACAAGAAGGCCTCAAGTCATGAACCACCTTCTTTAGGGGAAGCATAACACTATTCAGAGTAATGCAGGGCTGATGTTTCTGAATTATCTACTTCTTTACTGATAAAGAGTAACTCTGTCCAGGGTTTGTTTTGCCTCATCACAGCCTTCTGATATGGAAGTATATATACACTATGTACACTATATATACATATACATACACATACACATACACATACATACATACACACACATACACATACATACACATATACATATATGTAGGTTTTTGGTTATTCGGGTTTTCTCCCGTGTCAAATTGGAAGTGTCTTGGTGACGTTTTGACAAAGTCTCATTCGTCATCTTCAGGCTGGTGTTTTCGGCTTCGTGCTCCTAGAAGCACGAAGCCGAAAACACCAGCCTGAAGATGACGAATGAGACTTCGTCGAAACATCACCAAGACACTTTGAATTTGATGCAGGAGAAAACCCGAATAACCAAAGACCTACGTACAAACACCCGCAAAAACCTCAGAAAACACACACACACACACACACACACAGGTGAAACTCGAAAAATTAGAATATCATGCAAAAGTTCATTTATTTCAGTAATGCAACTTAAAAGGTGAAACTAATATATGAGATGGACTCATTACATGCAAAGCAAGATAGTTCAAGCCGTGATTTGTCATAATTGTGATGATTATGGCTTACAGCTCATGAAAACCCCAAATCCACAATCTCAGAAAATTAGAATATTACATGCAATCAATAAAACAAGGATTGTACATAGAACAATATCGGACCTCTGAAAAGTATAAGCATGCATATGTACTCAGTACTTGGTTTGGGCTCCTTTTGCAGCACTTACTGCCTCAATGCGGGGTGGCATGGAAGCTATCAGCCTGTGGCACTGCTGAGGTGTTATGGAAGACCAGGATGCTTCAATAGTGGCCTTCAGCTCTTCTGCATTGTTCGGTCTCATGTCTCTCATCTTTCTCTTGGCAATGCCCCATAGATTCTCTATGGGGTTCAGGTCAGGCGAGTTTGCTGGCCAATCAAGCACAGGAACCCTTTGCAGGTGTTATGGCTTAATTAGCTGATTAGAGTGGGACACTTTGAGCCTAGAATATTGAACCTTTACACAATATTCTAATTTCCTGAGATTGTGGATTTGGGGTTTTCATGAGCTGTAAGCCATAATCATCACAGTTATGACAAATCACGGCTTGAACTATCTTGCTTTGCATGTAATGAGTCTATCTCATATATTAGTTTCACCTTTTAAGTTGCATTACTGAAATAAATGAACTTTTGCACGATATTCTAATTTTTCGAGTTTCACCTGTATATATACACACATACATACATACATACACACACACACACACATATATATATGTATGTATGTATGTATATATGTATGTGTATATATATATATATATATATATATATATATATATGTATGTATGTATGTATGTGTATATATATATATATATATATGTGTCTGTGTGTGTATGTATGTATGTATGTGTGTGTGTGTGTATATATATATATATATATATATATATATATATATATATATATATATATATATATACACACACACACACACATACATACATATATACACTAGTGCTGATTTGGTCCAAGGTAGCAATGTACACCATATTGATAAGACCTAACCCCAGTCTGACATATGACTTCTTTCAAGTGATTTCATGTAGATGTTGAGCAATATAGAGAAGAGCACTGAGCCTTCTGGAACTCCTTGTAGTAGTAACCATGGACTTAAATGCTTTTCCTCATGACCATGGATGGAACTGCCTAGACATAGCAAAACTCTGTTGTATTAACATCTCTCTTTTGCTTTTATGTGCAGTCTGTTTATGGATTACAGAATGATATTCGAAGTCATAGTCCTACACACCCACCAGTGCCAGAAACAAAACCTCCCACAGAAGAGCAATTGTGTCAAGAGGTTTGTGAGACTATATTTATTTGATTTAGTCATCCTTGTAACAAAACTAAATGCTGAACTTATCACATTCTGAAAAATCAAAGTAGCTTGCTTATAAAACATATTATGTATTACTTTAAATGAATGCCTGGAAATGCTCCATTCAGTCAAAATACATAGCAGTTCAGATCCATACTGGTTAATTCCAGAGGGCTGCCAGGATCTCAGACTGATGTTGGTATGTGCAGAGGAGTCTTGGCGGAGAGTGTTGGAAGCAAGTGGGGAAAACATAGATGGGAGAGAAAGGCAATGTCCATCTGGGAATAGCATTGTTTTCGGGGTTTGATTCACAACATGCTTAAATATAATGCAAGATGCTACATTTTTAACCACCATCACTAGTTGCTTCCATTTCTTATTAAAATGCATTTTTCTAACAACATTAAAAGTTATAATTTTGATCTATTATATTCTCTAGATTTCAGTGAATTTCAGTGGATGATAGAAATAGTGGTGTGTATGTGTATGTGTGTGTGTGTGTGCTTGTATGTATGCTTTATGCATAAACACAGCTCTCTTCTATCTATATCTATATCTATCTATCATCTATCTGTCTGTCATCTATCTATCTATCTATCTATCTATCTATCTATCTATCTATCTATCTATCTATCTATCATCTATTATCTGTCTAGCTATCTAGCTATCTATTGCATTTCAAGAATCAATCCCTGGGAAATAATGCTATTCTCTAATACAGGAGTGACAAACTACTCGCCTGCGGGCTGGTTGCATCATGCAGAAGCCGCGCCAACCCCAGCTCCGGCAATGCAAAAAAAGTCACGATACATCGTGACATGTCACATGAAGTGGCAAGTTTGACACCTGTGTTCTAATAGATGCCAATAGTACTTAGACTTATATACCGCTCCATGGTGCTTTACAGCAATCTGACTGGTTTATAATGTCAGCATATTGCCTCCAACAATCTGGGTCCTCATTTTACCGACCTCAAGAGTGGAAGGCTGAGTCAACCTTGAGCCCCGTCAGGATTGAACTCCATGTTGTGGGCAGAGTTAGCCTGCAATACTGCAGTTTGACCACTATGTCACCAGGGCTCTTCAGATAGATATTTCTATTTCCAATCTGTGCTTCCCTCACTTAATTCTGCTTCTCTCATACTTGGCATAGGGGTCCTAACTCCAAGGTATGTGACTGGAGAGGGCTGAGGATGAGGTGAAACTGCGACTTCTGTCAGCCACAAGAATTCTATGTGCCCCAATTATTCTCATGGAAAATCTTTAGGTCAATGAACCATACATGTTTTATTGACAACCCAATATTTCAATAGTTTTCCATGAGCTGCAATGTAATGTGGACTGTTGATCTTATTTTAGGGTATGATCCGACTGTACTTACATACTTGAATTTCTGACTGATTTTTATGCTCAGCCTTGCTTTGAATCCTGATTTTAATAAATATTATGGAACACATCTGTATATGTGATTATAGGGGTAGGGAAAGGGGGGTGGGGTCTGCTTAAATTGATGACAATCTAATTACCCCAAACTGAATACATTTGTATCCTAAATACAAAATAATTATCCAAAATTATCCATTTGTATCCTTTTTGTTTTATTGGGAGTTTTATGGATGTGGATCTGCAAAAATGCACATCCTTTAATGGCAAAAGTCCTTTCAATGTTACTGACTGTGACTGTACTGTTATGAGATCTTTACTTGAGCTGGACTGTGCCTTCTCTTGAATTTATAAACAGCTCAATGCATAAGGTCTCATGGCTTAGCCTGCGTTCATATAAAATGCTCCATTTTTCTTAGGGCAGATTTGTCTCTGTTTACTCAAACCTTAGACTTGGTTTATCAGTTTTTTGTTTTTGCCTTTCATAGATAAAATATTGGCAAATACAGCTAGACAGACATCGGTTAAAAATGTCAAAAGTTGCAGAAAGGTATGTATATTACCATGAATTTGGTTAAAGTCAAAAGCTGCCATTTTCTGTATTCTTGAAAAAAAGGGGAGGGGAAAGAAGGCAATTATTAAATGATTGATTCCAACATAAATGGGGAAAAAATTGTATTTAGCGCCGAGGACCTTCCTTTGTAAAAATGGGTTCTTAATACTGTATGTAATAAATGCATTGTAAAAATGTTAGCTGATTATGTTTTTCTAGTCTATTAGCTTATACTGAGCAGTATGTGGAATACGACCCTTTTCTGCTGCCACCTGATCCCTCTAATCCTTGGCTGTCAGATGATACTACTTTCTGGGAAGCAGAAGCAAGGTATGTTGGTGGTGAATTTGGTCTTTTTCTCCCTCAAATAAATAACAGATATTCAGGAGCATCAGTTTTAAAAAAATCACATAGCAAGAAAGACGGAGAAATAATATTTTTTTCACAATTTCCCCTGGTAAAGGTTTTCCTTAGTCAAAGATAATCAAGGATCATAGCAGGGACCCAGGTTTTATGTTTCTAAATTCTCTTTTGTGTGTGTTATCCAGCAATGCTCTCTCATTAGGATTACTTGCTAGTGTGAAGCAAGGCGAAATAAACCAGATGTGGTGGAGGAATTGCACCATGCTGAAAATAGTACAGTTTCCATATAACAACAGAGCCTAATGATAGTGGAACCAAATACACTAATGGGATTATTTTTCTTGGCCAAAATGCTGAACTGAACTGCTGCTATTTAGGAGATTAACATTTTTCGAACTTTAGCATGAAAAAAAGCCTTAGTTATCTGCCTGTTCCAAAGCTGTAGTGCAGCACGTATTTACTGCAATTAAACTAATACGCAGTTAAAGTAGCCTCATATGTGATTAGGTTACTTTACATGGCCTGCACCGTCTTCTCCCACTAGCAAGGCAGATACATGGCCAATTGAGTTATTTCAATAAGTCTGAGGGATTGTTTGTTTGCTTGTTTCCTTTCAGCAAAGAGCCAAATCAGAAAAGAGTAAAGCGATGGGGCTTTGTCATGGATGAAGCTCTGAAAGACCCAGTCGGAAGAGAACAGTTCCTCAAATTCCTGGAATCTGAATTTAGTTCAGAGAATTTAAGGTTAGCCTTTCCCTCCATTCGTTGATATCTGGGCTGTCTAAGGAGATATATTATAACTGGAACAAATCTGTTATTTCTCCTCAATGTGCTCAGCAGGGCTCACCTTCCACCACCTATGGGAATTTTTAAATGAGGCAACAGCAGGAGTCCAACTGCACGTCTGGTCTAGCTTATACAATCCTTCTGGGAAGACCTCAGTGGTGTTTCCATTTCTCTTTTCCCAGTTAGGAGAGTATAACCAGTAAGTAATCTGTCAGAGGAGAATTGCTCAGACTTCCTGAGAATAAGTATTATTTTGCCAGTGATCATTATCATCATGTTAATCATGTTAATCTCTGCTCCATTATTATTTTTTTCTTTCTGATGCGTAGAAAGGGAGAAATAAAAGAAGAGCAGATTTTCATGTATTTAAGGTCAACGTTGCTACCTACTTTGTAAAGCCAACTTTCTTTCTATTCCCTGTTTAAAAGGAATTTACTAATTCTAGAGAAAAATTAAGTATAGGGTGATTTAGCTGAAATAGCATTTCCCTAGGAATGTCTATGGAGATTCTTGATCATTCATTTCGCGACTCATCTATTACAAAGCTTCATGAATGAGAAGCTTCTTGGATGAGAAGTGAAATGTTTTCAAGGAAAAAAATCAAGAAGGTCCAATTGCCTTTTGAATAGCACTTTTAGGATATTTCCCTAGGAAGATAACAGCCAAAGGGTGAGGCTGTTGAACATATACTTTGTTCTGCTGATTAATCCTGGACAGAAGAGAAACATTTAATGTAGCAGAAGGAGCTGTAGCTGAATTAAGATATCAGCTATGTGGCTATGCATGTTTGGTTGCCTCCTTGTGTTTTTGTTTTCTAAAGTTGTTGGCGATAGAAGGGCATTTTCTTAAGGATGTAGATAAAAGTTTTATTGCACTAATAAATAAACAATACAGATACATTATTTTAATATAATGTTAAAAAAAATCTTCTTTTGAGTTTCAGGGATTCATACAGGTAGGAAAAATTATGAGATGAATTTTGAGCTTAAGGAAACAGAAATTTGTAGAAATACAGATGATTCGTTTGTAGAATGGAGTCATAAAAGATTTGAAATTTGTTGATCCACATTGATAATTGTATGGATATCACACCAGATGCACGTCATAGACTGTAATACATTATTAAAGACACATAGGGTTGAAGGTTTTCTGGAGGCCTTCTTGTTCAACCCCTGCCCAATGCAGGAATCTTCATACTATGCCAGACAAATGGCTGTCCAATCTTTTCTTGACTACTTCCACCCACATCAGGAGCCAAACAGTTTCACTTTTTTTATTTTAGAAAAAAAATATTTTTCATTTTTCAATACATTTGATATATTCAATACATTATATAAAAATACCTTTGAAATAAATTCATACATAAAACCTTAGGTGTCGCTCATCCATCTCCCCTCACCGACTGCATCCGCCCTCTCTACCTTCCTTCCTTACTTCCCTCCTCCCTCTCTCCTCTCTTCACCTCTCTCCCCTCATCCCTTCCTCCCAACCTACTTCCTTCCCTTCCTTCCTCCTCCCCTCTCATCCCTCTTCAGATACAGTTCAGGGGAGATACCCGAGCAGCATCTCTCTCTAAATTCCTCTTCCTTAACATTTAACCTACTTAATCCCACCCATCCCCACCCCCCTACCCCCCCCACTTCCCGGAGCAGAATACAGGGTTATTGTAAACTAAACAAACACAATCTATAACTTTTAAAACAAAAAAATTATACAATAATCAAATTCATACTTAACCCTTAACTCCCTCTAAACTTTAACTTTTCACTTTTTTAAAAAAAGTTTCACTTTTTAATGGCTCTCCCAGTCAGGAAATTCTTCTTTATTTCAAATCTTCACTGAAAAGCTTCCACTTGTTGCTTCTTATCGTATTCTCAGTTGCTATGCAAAATAATTCCACACCCTTTTCCTTGTGATAGCCCTTCATATATTGGACAATGGCTACATGTCACTCCATAACCTTCTCTTCTTTAGAGTAAATACACCAAGTTCCTTTAACTGATGTTGTTTGTAGGATTGAGCCTCCAAATCTCACTATTTTTGTCAGTCTTCTCTGCACTCTGCATCGATGCCATATATTTATATACACAGAATAAAGATAAACCCCAGCAAAATTTAGCCAAAAATCAAAGAGGAACATTGATTAGTTCTTTTCTGTTTTTCTTTCATTCCTATAATATATCTTATGGCTTGGTTTTTTTTTTTACTTTATCTTTTGATAGTGGTTCTTACAATGTATGTCATGTATTTCTCAAAGTAAATTTATCTTCCCCTGCCCTTTTGTCCTTTTGTCCTTAGGTTATTCCCTATTTTCCAATTGTTCCTTGTCCTCTAGGCATGACAGCTCTTTATCCAAGTCCAAAGCAGCATATTTATTGAAAAATAAGAAGGTGCATGACTCACTTGCCATTTGTTTGTACAGCAACAATTCCTCTATTTGAGTTCTTTGGAGCATCTGTTGTTCCTCTGAGACTCTGACTTCTTCTGGTGCTTCTTTGACTTGTTCTTACTCTTGGTCTCAGCTTTGTCGTTATTTTTCATTATTATTTGCATTGTCCATTTTCATTCCAATATGTGATTAACTCCGATATAAATCATAGGAGAAAGAACATAGAACATAGAATATAAAATAATATAATGAGGGGGGAGGACCTTAGAAGTCTTCTAGTCCAACCCCTCTGCTGGGGGCAGGAGACCCTATATCATTTCAGATAAATGGTTGTCCAGTCTCTTGTTGAATGCTTCCAGTGATGGAGCACTCACAACTTCTGAAGGCAAACTGATCCATTGGTTGATTGCGCTCATTGTTAGGAAAATTTCTCCTTAGTTCTAGGTTGCTTCTTTCTTTGTTTAATTTCCATCCATTGTTTCTCAACTTGCCTTTTGGTGCTTTGGAAAATAGTTTGACATCTTTGTAGGAGCCCCTCAAATATTAGAACACTGCTATCAGTCCTTTTCATTAAACTTGTTATTCTGTTCCAAACTGAACAGGTTGCTTTCTGTACAGTCCAAACAAATACATAACTCAGAAGAATAAACAGAAATATAGCTTTTATTTTGGGAATTTTAGACAATGACTTACAGTCACGTGGAGATGCATCCAGAAGCACATGTTTGCAATATTGGTTTATTCCCCAGGTAAATGGACATATTCTGTTCCAAACTGAACAGGTTGCTTTCTGTACAGTCCAAACAGATAGATAACTCAGAAGAATAAACAGAAATATAGCTTTTATTCTGGGAATTCTAGACAATGACTTACAGTCACGTGGAGATGCATCCAGAAGCACATGTTTGCAATATTGGTTTATTCCCCAGGTAAATTGACACTGGATTTTCCCCTCTTCTCTTCCTGCGCATTACATGTTGGCAAGGATCTCCTAACTGTGTGGCTAGGAACCATACGGCTGGTGAACAAAGGATCCCATCTGGCTTGTGTCCAGGAAGTCTCTCAATGACCTTTGATACTCCTCCCACTGACCCATCAACATACGTAGCATTTAACCCAATAACTGCCAGACACTCCAACACACTGATACCTGCTCTCTAGTTAGGGCTACATAGAGCTATATGGTCCATAGAGCTATACGTTGCAGAATACTTGTCATACCCAATTCCCATAACTGTCCTTTGTATGTTTTAGCTTCCAGCCCCCTAATCATTCTTGTTGCTTTCTCTGCCGAAATAAATATTGATTCTCTTGCCACAAAATGCTTTGAAATCAGGCAGACATGGCAAAAAACATAGGAAGCTTGGAAGTGGTATCCTTAAGTATCTGTTACCTGTCTGCCTTCTTTCTTATAATTTTGATGAATGCTGGGTACAAGTTCATCTATACCAGTGGTTCCCAACCTTTTTTATATCCCACACCCCTAGAACACTTTTAATATATTCTCGCACCCATTACAAAAGTTTGAAATAATGGCAATGAATTATAATTTTGAAAACCCAAGTTTTCGCACCCCTTGGAATATCATCTCGCACCCCTGGCTGGGAACCCCTGATCTATACTGAAATGCAGCTCCCACATCTTCACTATTATCTTACAGTATCTTTAACCATAAATGTTAGAGCCACATTCCATTGCATGAATGATCACTACTGCTGAACTTCTGTTGGTATCAATTTTTGTTAAGCATGAATTTTGTTTGTAGGTAGGTATCTATTTTTAAAAATGTAAAATCAAAAAGGCCTAACCTGTCCCCCACACCTGATAAATACTCTTAGCACAGCATTGCTGAAAGTGTGCCGATGGTGTAGGTAGCCTTCTTTCCTTCTGAACTAGGAGAACCATACATTGTGACCTTATTGAAAGGCCAGCTGGATGAAGATGAAGAGATGTCTCGCTTGATGAATACTCTGTGTTAGAGAGTCAAAGAGAGATCAGATGCCTGGACTGAATATTGTTACTGTTATGTCCCGAGCCTTTGAAAACGGCTCGGGCGTTTGCAGGCAGTCCCGGGCAGGTGCAAAGCTGCCCGGGACCAGACAGGCTGTCGCCAGCGCCGTGCGCATGCGCGGGTGCTGGCGCGGGAAAAGTAACCCATTTACCCGGGAGTTGCCTATATAAGAGGCTGCGAGGCGTTTGGGCGAGGCTGAAGCCATCTTCCTGTAAGCTGAACGCTGAATAAAAGAAACTGAGAACTCCAGCTGCTTCTCGTGTCTGTTTTCCCGCCACGGACTCAACACTGGCGACGAAGGTGGGATGCCTTGCACTACCTGGAAAGGAAGAAGTGTAAGCTTACCCAAGGAGTCCTGAGCGGCGAAAGAGGAACGGCGTCGACTCGGCAGCTGCCCGCCATTCCGGTGCGCATTCGGGGGTAGGCTGGCTGATAGACCCGTCTCCTGAAGATCCGAAGATGGCGAAAATCGGAAGGCTTTCAGAATTCGACGTCTCACATCCAGAGCGGTGGGAGTCCTACGTATCCAGAATGGAGAACTACTTCAAGGCAAACCAA